CTCATCTGATCTTCAGTGAGGAGCCAGTGTAGGCAGCAGTTGTTGATGAATATCTGTAGTTTGTTGGAAATCCCTTTCTTAACGTGCCAAGTCTCTCAACCATCACACGTAAGCATTGAGTTGACTGAATTGGTATTGAAAATCCGGATGTTGTTCCACATGCTGAGTGCCGAAGATGATCTCCACACTGGTTTCAGGCTAATGAACGCCTGTCTTGCTGTCTTTCCGATCCTGGCTGGCTTTGACATCCTTGTCTGTGCCACCGCCGCCTGTAGTTGAAACAGTGCTTCCTAGATAGGTGAAGGAGGTTACTTCTTTAAGTTTCTCCCGTTGATGGTGACTGGAGTTTGTTGTTGTTGGTGGTGCGGTATCTTCATCACCTCCATCTTCTCTATATTCACCTGAAGCTCCGTCTCCCCTCGCTGCCCCTTCTGCCAACTTGTTAGTTTTCACCTGTAGATCTTCAAGTTTATGTGACACCAGGTACAAGTCATGGGCGGAATCCAAATATTCTAGGTTCTTTTCCACAGTCTAGCGTATCCTCCTCTTCTCGCTCCCCACTGTTTGAAGCATGATCCAGTCGGCCTCAATCAGGAATATCATGGGGGATAGTAGGCAACCTTGTTTCACTCCTGTCTTCACTTCAAAAGCATCACTGAGCTTGCCATTGTGAATTACTTGGCATGTGGCATCTTCATATAGTTGTTGAATGAGATTGATAAAGGTATGTGGTATTCCGTAGTATTGAAGCAGTTTCCAAATTACCTCTCGGTCAACGCTGTCAAAGGCCTTCTCAAAGTCGATAAAGTTGAGGTATAGAGCTGATTGCAATTCTATGCTGTGTTCTATGATGATGGGAAGCGTTGCAATTCGGTCCGCACATGATTTGTACTTCCTGAAGCCTGCCTGTTCCGGTCGTAGTTTTTAATCCAGTGCATCCTTAAGCCTCTCCAGGATGATGCGGCTTAATATTTTGCCTGGGGTGGACAGGAGAGTGATTCCGTGCCAGTTCTTGCAAACACTTACGTCTCCCTTCCTTGGCAGTTTGACAAGGTAACCCTTCTTCCAATCAATGCCAGGTACCTTCTCTTCCTTCCACACCTTCTGCAATAGTGGTGTGTAGCATGTCCGCTGTTGTCTCTGCATCTGTTCTCAGTGCTTCTGGCGGGATCCCATCTTGTCCTGCTGCTTTCCCACATTTCAGTAGCTTTATGGCGTTCAGGACTTCGACTTTTGTTGGAGGATTTATGTTCACTTGTAGTTCAGCGGCTGGGCTGCAGGTGGTATTTCTGGACAAAGTGCAGGTGGAGGTCGATTCAAGAGCTTCTTGAAGTGGTCGGCCCATTGTTTCCTTTGTTTCCCTTCTTTGGTGATTAGATTTCCGTCATCATCTTTTATTGGTTTTGTCTGCGTTGATCTCTTCTCAGATAGTAAGCTGGTTATTTGATACAATGTCGTCAGGTCTCTCTTACCTGTAGCCTGTTCTGCTTCACTTGCCAGTGTTTCGTAGAAGTGTCTTTTGTCTTTGCGTGCACTCTTCTTCACTTCTTGGTCCAGTGTTTTATACATTGTACTCAGTTCCTCTTGTCGTTGTGCATCCATGCACTGGTTTATCTTCTGCTTCACCATCCTCTTCGCCTCTATCAGCGTTCATGTGTCCATTGGGATCCATTCCTTATCTTCTTTCTCCTTCCCTCTTAATACGGCTATGCAGGTTTCTTTCCACATCTCTTTCAAAGACTTCCAGTGTTCTTCCACACAGGTTTCTTCAGGGATGTTCCTCGATATCTCCCATTTTGTCTTGATGGCTGCCGTGAAGATCTCCTTTGTAGTTTCATCCTTCAGTTTCCGAGTGTTGTACTTGAACTGTGGTCTATCACCAGCTTCCCTGAAGGCTTTTAACTTGATTTGTAAGGTCCCTTGCACTAGATAGTGAGTGGTGTGAACCTACATCTGCTCCTCTTCTTGACCTTGTGTCAAGTAGGCTGACTGAGTCTCCATTTTCTTCAGACTGAGATACAGTCGATCTGATTTTTAGTGTGTCCTGGTCTGGTGAAATCGAATCCATGTCACTTTGTGGATATCCTTGTGCTTGAACACACTGCCTCACCTCCAATCACCAAATTGTTGAATGCGCAGAATTCTGCAAACAATTCTGCATTCTCGTTCATCACCTCACCGAGTGCTTCTCGACCCATGGTTAGTTCTCTTCCTGTGTTGTCTGCTCCCAGTTTGGCATTCATGTCGCCCATCAGAATTTTGATGTTGCCAACTGAGGTCTTGTCCAGTGTTGATTTCAGTTGTCTGTAGAATTCCTCCTTCTCCTCTTCATCTGCATTATTTGTAGGTGCGTAAAGTTGTATAACTGTGGCCTTCCCTCCTTTTGAGTTGAATCTTGCTGTCATGATCCTGCATGAGGAGACTGATTCCCACTGCATGAGAGCCTTTGATGCTGTTGGGGACATCATGATAGTCACTCCCGAACTCAGTGTGCTCGTGGGTGTCGTCTGGGTGACAACATCGGAGTAGATTATTGATTCTCCAGTTGACAGTTTCTAGACTTCACTTCCATTCCATCTGCTTTCGCAAATTCCAAGCACTTCAGTGTGATACCTTCTCATCTCGTTTGCAACCTGGGCTACCTTGCTGGGTTCAAACATGGTGCAGACATTCCATGTCCCCACGTTTACTTTCGCTGTCATCAGGGGAGAGAAGACACATCGGCCTGTCAATTGGCTTCCCGATGGCTTTCACCAAGTGGCGTCATTTCGTCTCTCCGATTCCAGCTAGGAATAATTTTGTTTTTATTTTTTATATTTTGTTTGTGCTTTGAAGTTTTTTTGGTGGTTAGATTTGTTTTACGGTGTAGGGGTTGCTAGCCCTATGCCCAGCCTTCCCTGGTTATCTGGGCTTAGGATCGGCTAGTAACTAGTGAACTAGTTAATCAGGCGAGGTTAAAAAAATATGGAACGCATCACGATTTTGCTTATCATCCTTGAGCAGGGGCCATGCTAACCTTCCCTGCATCGTTCCAATTTTAGTGTATGTATCGCCAAAGCGAGTACAATAGTGACATCTCTCAATATTTCATTACAATTTTTTGTCAAAGATCATACCTTGTGATCTCGGCTGAGTCGTTTCCAGCGGAAATATTGTTGACTGGCAGTACAGTTGGGAAGTTGAACAGCCAACCAGCTGTGAGGAATGTAGCAGATTGGACCGTGGAATTTGCTTATCATTCAGTCTCAAATTCACTTTTTTCGTATTAGTTACCCTACGCCAACTACCAGTAGTTATATGAAAGTTCTAACCACCTTCGTGTACTCAAAACTACCATTTTCTGATTTTGGTGTGACCCACCACCGCCGCTGTCAACCACCGCGTTCAGTAGTCGTGTTCCCAAATATTCTACAATCCTAAATTATTCACTTCACTGTACTCTATTTTTACCTTGGATAGGAAGGTGCTCTGACAAGTAAATATCTGAGCAGATAATTTTAAATGTACAAATTCACAATTTCCAAGATGAGATGGAGGATATTGTGTGAGGAAGAACTGAGAGGTTGTGGGCAGTGGTGGAGCCAGGTTGTGAGGACTGGAGAGAGTAGAGTGATATGGAGATGTGTTACTGAATACCCATTTTTCACTAGGAACCCAAGGGACAAATAATAATAACAATAATGGGTTTGCACTTTCCTTGGTGGTGGCTAGTAGTTATATGCCTAACGCGCGTTTTGGCCTGTTTTTCCTGTCAGCTGAAGATACCGCTATCTCGATGCGGCTGTAACCTAACACTTATCACTTGGAAAGTCAGTGTATCCCCCATTAGGGATTGCCTTATATTAACTGATGAGTTTTAAATTGGACAAAACATCCTCCCTGAATCCCACTGGTGACCACAACCGGAACTTACTGTTATCACCAAATAATAAAGTTTAAGTTTGTTGGGAAGTAGTTTTATTTCACTATGAAATTGGATAAATGTAATGTATACTGTGTAATGATTGAAGGTGAAAGGGAAGTTTCAATCGTGTTCGGATTGGAATCAGTGACCATTAGGTTTCTTGCCCGAAGGTCTATCAACTGAGCTACTAGGTCTGAATGCTGACCAGACTCTTATTCCACTTCAGCCACCATGGTAGTAACGCGTCATGAATTCACATGGTATTCGTCCGCCAAAATCTCACTTGGGATTGATTATTATTATTATTATCTGTCCATTGGGTTCCTGCTGGAACATACGGGTTTGCTAGCACACCACCACTTCATTCTCTTCTCTGAAGTCTTTTCAACCCGGTTCCACGATTGTCCAAAACCTTTCATTTCTCCTTCAAACGAACTCCTCCATGTCACCCTCGGACACTCAACTCGTCGTTTCCTATTTGGCTTCCACTCGACGATCTGGCCTGATGCGTGATGGCCCCAAATCGTCTTCTCAGTCTGTGTACAATCCAATCCATCTTCAATCTCTTCTTTTGCAGATTTGTTAGGCGATTCGCTACCAGATTACAGTTCCTTGTTGCTTATTCTTTCTGGCTTTCTGATTTGATCTTCAGTATCGAGTGAGCGTAGATGGCAAGTGTTGATGAATGTTTGTAGTTTGTTGGAAATGATTATCGTAACGCGCCAAATCTTTCAACCATCACATAGAAGTACTGACTCACTTGACTGAAATTACTGTTGAAAATCCTGATCTTGTTCCAGATGCTGAGTGTAGTAGATCTCCACACTGATTTCAGTTTAATGAAGGCCACTTGTGATTCAAGTGAAATAAAGATCTAGTCAGTAGTCGGACCTCGTAGCTCAGTTGATAGAGGATCGGGTAAGGGATCCGGTGGTCCCTCTTGTTCGAACCCGGTAGTAGTACAGATTTTCAATCCCCTTCAATTATAACCCAGTACCAAGACTAGTCTGTCGGCTATCTCAGAGAGTTAAAATGAAAATGTACTTTAGTCAGACTATTCACTGATCAATGATTAAATAGAAAGATGTAATATACACCAGATATATGATTGTTTACATATTTACATATAAAAAACGTCTTTATTACAATGAGTCATCAACATCTGTGAAATAATCTTCAATTTCTGTCATATCAAATAAATCTTCATTCATTTCTTCAGCAAGACTACTCTGAAAACAATCTTCAGTGCTGTTGATTATATCTCCATCATCAAGATGATGTTCATGTTGATGATGATCTAGAATACTCAAAGGTAGGCATAAACCAACAGTGAATTCATAAAACAATGAGCCAATAACTGCACCCAGATATGGTCCAATCACAGGTATCCAAAAGTAGTAGTTATTTGCTTGAAAAGCTTGTATATCCCAACCTGTTATTCAAGGAGAAGTGATAGATAGAAAAAAAAAACGATTTCGTATAGAATCAAAACAAAATATCGTTTAATGGATGACTCTAAAGTCTATCTAATGAAACAGCTGATTAGGTTTCATGATTACATGAAAAAACTATCTTTCCAAGCAGAAAGTAGTAAGACATCATTGGCTATTTCAACGGTCACTAGAGTAGACTTCATAGTCATACTTGTATTATTATTACTATTGTTATTTGTCCCTTGGATTCCTAATGCAACATAAAGGGCTTCAGTAGCATGCCCCCATTTCACTCTATTCTCTGTAGTCTTTTGAATCTGGATTCACGACTGCCCACAACCTCTCAGTTCTTCCTCACACAATATCCTCCATCTCATCTTCAACTCACACGCACAACTTGTCGTTTGCCATTTGGCTTCCACCAGACAACCTGGCCCAGCACATGATGTCCCCGAATGCTCTTCGCCGTCCAGCCCATTCCATCTCCACTTCCTTCCACAGCATATTTGTTGAGTGATAGACTCTCGCCTAACTGATTCGTTGCCACCCAGCCACACTTCCTTCTTCCTCATTCTTATCACTGCCGCCATCTGATCTCCAGTAACCAGCCAGTGTAGGCAACACTCCTTCATCAATAGGTGTACTTTGTTGCAAATGCACTTAACAACGACCCCAACTCTCTCAACCATCACATGCAAGCACTCACCGAGTTGACTGAATTGCTTCGTCTTCAAAATCCTGATGTTGTTGACGCTTTATGCTGAGTGGAGTGTAGAAGATCTCCACATTGGTTTTAGGTAAATGAATACGTGTCTTGCTTTTCCAATGCTGGTTTTGATATCGTCATCTGTGCCTGTGCTGCGTGTAGTTGAGACGATGCTGCCTGCTTAGATGGATAGGTGAAATGGAGTACTTCCTTTAAGTTTCTCCCATTGATGATGATTGGAGCTTGTTGTTGTTGGTGTTAGTGGTGGTGGTGGCGTTTGTTGGATATCTTCATCACCTCTATCTTCTCTACGTTTACCTGAAGGAAGACCCGTCTTCACTGCCCCACCCTACCCCACCCTGCCCTGCCCTGACCTGACTTGCCCAGCCCCGCCTCTTCTGTCAACTTGTTAGTTTTCACCTGTACATCTTCGAGTTTGTGTGACAAGACATTAGACACAAATCATCATGGTCGAAATCCGGATGTCCTAGGTTCTTCTCATCGGTCCAGTCAGCGTATCCCCATCTTCTCACAGCTCCTCACCATTTGTTGCATGATCCAGTCGGCCACAATCAGGAATGTCATGGGTGATAGTGGACAGCATTGTCTTACTCCTGTCTTCACTTCAGTGGCCTCACTGAGTTTCCGATTGTGGCTCACTCTGCAAATGTCTTCCTCATATAGTTGTTGAATGAGGTTGATAAATATTTGTGGTATTCTGTAGTATTGAAGCAGTTTCCGAATTACTTCTCGGTCGTCGCTGTCGAAGGCTATCTCAAGGTCGATGAGGTTGAGGTGGAGAGTTGACTGCTGTTCTATGCTTTGTTCTCTGATGATGCGTAGCGTTGCAATTTCGTCCACATATGATTTGCACTTCGTGAATACTGAGTCATAATACAATTCAAGGCAGCTAAACTGACCAGACTTAGATGTAAGCGCCTAACACGGTTGTGTAGCTTGTGATCTTCAACTGGTGTATAAGAATGATTCAGATATTGAGAAGGTATAATTGCATGATTCATAGTCACATGACTAAAAGTCAGCCATTAACGTTTGATGTGATGATTCATCTTTTTCAGTTGAAGAAATTACGGTATTTGTTTTAATTACCGATTTAAAGTGACTGAATATTTTTGTGGGATTCGAGCTTGTGACTCATTTGCTAGTGGGAAATTCTGAAACTGATCAACGTGGACTATCTGAAACCTGAATGAAACTTAGAAAAGCAAGACTCTGATGTAATATTCACTGTTGTGATAAAATTATTTCAAAGTCGATGATTTCTAGTGGAACTAGATGAAGTCTTTGATGATAGTGTGAATCAAAAGTGATGTGTCGACTTGGCAACTAAATGTGATAGCAGATTATATTCAGTGTTGGACTATAGAAAGAAATCAGCTTATTCCAATCTGTTATCGTGAAAATTGATTGAATGAAATGCTACAGGAAATCTTAGTTATCGGTTATTTAGAATGGGACTACAGCAGAACAAGTTTAGACTGTATACCTCAGTGATCGTGTACGTGACGACAACAGTGTATGACACTGGTTTACATGTCAAAGGTGACACTAGATATACTTTACTAACAAATACCAAGAAATGGGAAACTTAAATCGTGAAGACCAACTTCAAGTGACTATTAGCACACACTTACATCAGGATAGAAGGAAGTGGAGATGGATTGGGCATACACTGAGAAGGCTGACTGGTGACATCACGCACCAGGTCAGGCACTCGAGTGGAACCCAGATGGGAAACGACGAGTTGGGTGTCCGAAGTGAGGGTGAGATGGAGGAGATGGTGTGAGGAAGAAATGAGAGCTTGCCGGCAGTCATGAAGCCAGGTTCAAAAGTTGCAGAGAACAGAGTGCACTAGAGACGTACTACTGAAACCCTATGTTCCATTAGGAACCCAATGGATAAATAATAATGTATTAATACATCAGGATAAACTCTGAGTAGATTCCCTGTAAACAATTAACTTATACTTGCATAACGGATAAGAGGATCAGTGTAATTGTATCATGTATGGAAGAAATAATCACCATGGAGATTAATTTCCTACTAAAATATCCATTCACTTAAATTAATTCAGATTATCAATCCTATTACAGACAGTTTGAAGATATTTCCACAAGAGATGATTGAAAAATCATAGAACATTGAGAATGAATACATTAGCTTTCTCCATTGTTCTATAATTCATCATGGACTGAAATTATTTGAAGGTATATTGAACAATTGTTTCGTCCCACCAGAGGATTCGTCAATAGTGTTCAATCATTACACCACCAAGTAGTTAATCTAGAACTTTTAAGCTTCAAAGTGAGTGCATTATCATCTATCAGTTGTCTGTGTAAAGCTCTCTTGTCTAACTTGGTGTATACATTATCGCACCATGAGATTAAAACCCTGTGATTCATACTTCGTAGACTAATGAGTAAGTATATTGTGAATCTGTTGAAAGGTATTTTATTAAAATTTGGGATAAATCATGGTACTGGTTATTCTGCCTAGTTACCAATGACTTCACTGAATGTCTTATTAGGGGGGCGGGGGGGGGGCTAACCATTTATGACCCGTACAGATCGATGGTAACCGTGTTGACTTGAGCTATGCACTCTATAGGAGATATCACATTTCAAATAGGAGACTTGTAAAGATTTTACTTGATATTACTTTGCTCCTTGGCTAAAGATGTATCATTTCTGATGAGATTTAACTAATGTAAAACCTATAACTTCTTGCACTTAACTTCAAGTATCTAATATCCAGAATATAAACAATTCTCTGAATTCTTCTCAACATCACCAGCACTATATGAATTTTTGCGGTAGACTTTGATAAAACAGCAACAACAACAACAAGCTCCAATCATCATCAATGGAGAAACTTAAAGGAAGTACTCCCTTTCACCTATCCATCTAAGCAGGCAGCATCGTCTCAACTACACGCAGCACAGGCACAGATGACGATATCAAAGTCAGCATCAGAAAAGCAAGACACGTATTCATTACCTAAAACTAATGTGCAGATCTTCTGCACTCCACTCAGCATAAAGCGTCAACAACATCAGGATTTTGAAGACGAAGCAATTCAGTCAACTAGGTGAGTGCTTGCATGTGATGGTTGAGAGAGTTGGGTCGTTGTGAAGTTGCATTTGCAACAAAGTACACATATTGATGAAGGAGTGCTGCCTACACTGGCTGGTTACTGAGATGAGATGGTGACATGATAAGAATGAGGAAGAAGGAAGTGTGGCTGACTGGCTGGGAAACCATGAGTTTGGCATCCAAGTTGAGGGTGACGTGGAGGATAATGTGTGAGGAAGAAATGAGAGGTTGTGGACAGTGGTGGAATGAGGTTCAGAAGACTGCAGTGAAGAGAGCGGAATGGAGATGTGCTACTGAATCCCTAGTTTCTACTAGAAAATCCAAGGGAGAAATAACAATAATGATGATTTTTAGGTAAAAAATCATACCATCTACTCATCAAGATGGATATATAATTTCTAAGTGAGTTATTCAATTATGCAGATATTAGAAAATCTTTTCCATCTGTTTCCTTCATCATAGAATAAAAGTGGACACATTTAAACTTTTGAGTAAGTATATTGCCTATATATAAAGTGACTATATAAAGAAAAGGTTAGAGTATAGTTTATGTAGTCAGCTAGAGATTTAGCCAACAGATATACATTGAATGAAAGTGGAAATGAATTGGGCATACAATGAGAAGGCCGATGAAGGACATCATATCGTAGGCCAATTGGGAAACAACGAGTTGAGTGTTCAAGAGCAGTCATAGAGCCAGATTGACATACATTAAGAACCTAAGAGAAAAATAGTAATAATCAATATAAAGGAAAAATTATCAATAAAAAAGACACTGGTTCTCTAAAATTACCATATAATGAAATTGCTATCCTTGCACCTAAATCTCTAATTGGATTCAATCCACTATCAATATTTAAGCATAATGATGCAATAATACCACTGACTAATATTCCAATATACATTGGTTGTAATTCTTTTGGAAGATAATAATTATCATTATTATTATTATTATTATTATTATTATTATTAATGACTAATATTATTCCAGTAAATATAGCAAATGATAAGATATGCGTTATTAAACAGGTATGATGTGATACACCAGGTGAAGTAATTAATAATGATCCAGTGAAATTGTTTTGTAATTTTTCATATGATTTCATTGATAATTTATACATATGTATATTTTCATAATAAACACTAATTATGATAAATGTACCCAATATTGATCCAATTAATTGAAATAAAGTAAATGGTAGAAGATATCGAAATGATAATTTTCCAATGAAACAATAAGCAAATATTAATGATGGATTAATATAACCTAATTGTTTTCTACCAATTGTTGATATTAATAATCCTGTTAATTCAGCTATTCCCCATCCAATTGATGTTGACATTAATTGACTTATATGTTGATTGTTTAATTGACCAATACTAGTCTGTATAATAACACCTAAACCAATTATCATATATAAAGTGGTACCAAGAAATTCACTAATACATTCACATAATAATGGCCATTTACTTAAATTAATACGATGAATTAATTGTTGAAATAATTTATTCCATTGTAATTGATAAGATTGTTCAGTATTCTTTAACATATTTATCCAAGTCAATTAATAATGTTAATGGATTAGGTGAAGGAAACAACTTTGTATTGTCTTTTCATTCTATCTACTTGTCAGTGTGTATTCATTCATTTATTCACTGATTGGTTCAATTTAATTTGATTAGTAAAGATAATTTTTATTCTCTTTTTCTCTCTTCTTGTTATTCTTGTTTTATTCTAGATGATTATAATAAAATGTATACACTTAAATAAACACAAGGGATATTAGGCAAAGTATAATTTGATCATAATTTGATCATATAATTTGATCATAAAAATTCGTAGTGGAATATATCTCCACCACGACTGCGAAGAAGCTGTCAATTCTTCCTCACACTATCTGTTCCATGTCACCCTCACATCAGATGCACAACTCATGGTTTCTCATTTGCGTTCCACTCGAGTGCTTGACCTGATGCGTGATGTTCCCAATTGGTCTTCTCAGTCCATGACCAATCCATCTCCACTTCCTTCCAGAGCATATTTGTTCAGCGATAGCTTCCTGTTTCGTTGCCATACAGCCAGCCAGACTTCCTTCTTGTTTATTCTTGTTATTCTGGCCATCTCGTGTGATCTTCAGTATTGAGCCAGCGTAGACAGTTGTTGATGATGAATATCTGTAGTTTGTTGGAAATGCACTTCGTGACACGCCATGTCTCTCAACCATCACATAGAAGTACTGACGTATTAGACTGAATTGGTGTGGAAAATCCCGATGTTGTGCACGCTTTATCCTGAGTGGAGTGTAAAAGATCTCCACACTGATTTCAGGTTAATGAATGCATGTCTTCCTGTCTTTCCGATCGTGGTTTGACATTGTGGTCTGTACCTGTGCCACCTGCCTTGCCTGCGCAGGTGAAACGGACTACTTCCTTTAAATTTCTACCGTTGACAGTGATTGCGGCTTGTTGTTGTTGGTGGTGGTGGTGGTGGCGTCGGTTGGATATCATCATCACCTTTATCTTCTCTACACTCACTTAAAGTCCTGTCTTCAGTGCCCTGCTTCTTCTCTCAAAGTTTTGGATTTTGTCTGTACATCTTCGAGTTTGTGTGACATTAGACACAAGTCATTATGGGCGAAATCTAAGTCTTCTAGGGTTTTTTTCATCGGTTCAACCAGCGTATCCCCTTCTTCTCGCTCCTCACTGTTTGTTGCATGATCCAGTCGACCACAATCAGGAAGATCATTGGTGATAGTAGGTGGCAGCCTTGTTTTACTCCTGTTTTCACTTCAAAGGTACCACTAAGCTTTCCATTGTGAATTACCTGCCATGTGGCGTCTTCATATAGTTGTTGAATCAGGCTGATAAAGATGTGTGGTATTCTGTAGTGTTGAAGCAACTGCCAAATTACTTGTCGGTCGACGCTGTAGAAGGTCTTTTCAAAGTCAATGACGTTGAGGTAGAGAGTCGACTGGCATTCTATACTCTCTTCTATGATGATGCGTAGTGTGGCGTTGTAATTTGATCCACACACGATTCGTTCTTCCTGAAGCCAGTCAGTCAGTCAGTCAGCCAACCAGCCAGCCAGCCAGCCAGCCAGTCTGTTCCGGTTGTAGTTTTGAATGCAGAGCATGTTTTAGTCTCTCGAGGATGATGTAACTTAATATTTCACTTGGTGTGTACATATGTGGAGCATGATTTCACACCAGTTGTTGAAAAGTCATTGATCTTCGTTGTTTGTGAGTTTAACAAGGTATCTCTTCTTCTTCCAATCGTCAGATACCTTTCCTTCCTCCCAAACCTTCTGCAATAGGGCTGTAATCAATATCCGACAATGACACTTATTCTTACATTATTACTATGATGGATGAAAACAACATGATTCGATTTGTGACAATTTACACTATTATAGTGTGTGATGATATTTACAAGTGGTATTTTCTCGCTAATGAAGCGATTTTCCACAAGGTCGTGTAACATCACGAATTTATTACTTATCTACCTTCATTGACATTTTACAAATATACAATTCACTGCGTGGAATAACTTACACCAGTGAACCCTTTCAAAGTAAAACAAAATTAAATCGTCCTGACATCAATATGTAGGGTTGATAAGATTGGTGACTATTTGTTGATGTACTTGTAACTCTTGGTTGTATTGTGTTCTCTGAGGAGCTGGGTTGTTTAATTGTGGAGACGCTTTCATCGTCCTTCTAGACAGCGACATCATCAGCACTAACTTCACTATGAAGTAGTGAGCTGTTAATATCTCTCCGTGAGTGATTTAGTAGCTTGCTTTGACGAAGCGGTCTATGATTGCTTGTTTCCTTTGATTGTTGTGTCATTGACTGACTGTATAGACTTTCCTGTTGGTTGGCTGTCCCTGTGCTTCACCTCTCACCTTTCTGTCGTTTATCCCTCCTTCTTATTGCTTGATAGATTGGGTCTATATGTATACATATCTGTTGATTGCTGACTGACTGTCTGACCTGAATCCCAAGTTTCTAGGAATTCTCTGATGATATTCTTTGTGTTTCCTCTCTCCATCCAACATTTCTACATTGTCGAAATTGAATTCATGTCCATACTTGTGTTATGCATGTGCATTGAAATGAGTGATGAAATGTCATGTGTGATGTTTAATAGCCAATTTGTGTTCGTGTAGTTGAAGGCGGAGAGGGCGGCCACTTTGTCCAAGCAGAGGGACAGCCAACAGGAAAATCTATACAGTCAGTCAATGACACAACAAACGAAGGAAATAACCAATCACAGATCACATCGTCAAAGCAAGATACTAAATCACTCACTGAGAGATTTTGACAGCTCACTTCATACTGAAGTTAGTGCTGATGATGTCGCTGTCTAGAAGGACGATGAAAGTGTCTCCGCAATTAAACAACCCAGCTCCTCAGAGAACACACTACAACCAAGAGCATCCACCTGAGCTACAAATATTCTCCACTACTTGTAACTCTCCATTGTTTTACTGGATCGAATTATCCCACCACTGTTGGCTTATGGGTTTCTACGTGGATGTTTAGATGTTATCTGACTATTCGTTATAATAATTTAATTGTGTATGGCGAATTCCATCCCAATTGAGTAATGCTGTTCCTACTGAGATGTAAGTACATCCAGCTGACGAATCCCAACTAAGACGGAAGGCGTGTATACCTTTCACAAAATTTTGTCTTGTCTGACAAACCTCCTTACAGTCAGAGACAGTTGGGTTTAGTCTAACGATGATAGAATACCTGTAGATGTCATTTTCATAGACTTCTGTAAGACATTCGACAAGGTAGCTCATTCCAGGTTGCTCGGGAAACTGGAAAGTTTTGAAATCACTGGTGGTCTGCTTGCATAGATAAGACATTAAGGATCAATTCTCAACTCTCTTCTTGGAAGTCAGTAGAGAGTGGAGTGCCGCAAGGCACAGTCCCGCTGTTTCTCCTATACGTAAATGAGCTGCCAAATATTGCGAAATCCCCCACGACTCTCTATGCTGATGATGTAAAAAACCTAGCGGGAAATTAGGAACGACGGTACACGTAATCAGCTTGTTTACCTAGTCAGAGATGCCTATCAATACAGGTGAACGTGTGAGCATGCACTTGGGGCACACACACAGCAACATCTAGGGTATTGGTGGGACTCCTTCACCGTCAGTACTGACCCACAATGACGTAGGAGTCACGGTTAGTTATGACTTAAAAACCATGGCTCATTGTAGATTGGTAGCAGCTCGGAGTTTCAGGACTCTCTAAGTATTACGTAGGACGTTTAAAAAAATAAGTGGTAACATGTTCAACATCTTATACGCATCCTGAGTTAGGTCTAAATTAGAAATCTGTACACAGGCGACCAATGCTTGTCTGAAAGATGACACCGACCTTCTAGAAAGAGTTCAGAGGGCAGCCACTAGTAGGCTCCCTGCGATGGCCGGCCTCACCTATGAAGACCGACTTAAGTAGCTGAACCTCTTCACTTTGTCCTACCGCAGACAGAGGGGAGACCTAATCATCCTATACAGAATTCTAAGAAATGACTTTGGACCTGATCTATCTTCTCTTCTCCTTCTCACGTCAGAGGATACAGTAGGAGGCTACAGAAGCAAAGAACGAACATAGTCTCCGCAAAGTACTGGTTCTCGCATAGATCAGTCAACTCCTGGAACAAACAGCAAAATATTGATGAATGAGTTGTAATCCGGTTGATTATGCAAACAAGGAGTATTTGATAATACAGATCTACAGTGACTCTGGTAGATTTCTTGTCAGTTTATAAATAAATATGAAAAAGGCTGCCGTTGAAAGGGAATGAATAATGTCTACTAACTGCTACACTATCTCACATCTACTCTGGAACCCTTTTAGATAAGATGCACGTTGAATGACTGAAATACTCAGATTTACAAGAGTAGGGGAACTCCTATACACAAATAAAGGCGGCCAGATAGGTGACTAGGGAACATTACTCGAAGAGTTACTGCAAAAAGCCTCCTCTTCAGGAAATTTGAAATTCTTCTCTTCAGGATGTCAACAACTTAGATTACCTTTTGAAGTAAAGATTCATATACATGGTATCTTTTACAATACCAAAACTGCAACACATTGTGGCGGTATCGGTTTGATGCTTTCATCTATGAATAGTGGTTAATATTCCTTTCCCATCAAATTTCTCCTTCGGATATCTGTCTCTTTATCTGTAGCATGTGGACTGTAAATGTATTGGATGCAAGAAGCAAGATACATTATTCAACACATCTCCTGAAGGGTTGGATGGAATAAAATTTGAATAAGGCCATTTGATTTCAGAAATAACTTTATCAAAATAACATCTGACATGTTTATTCCGTGATAATGGTATAGTTTGAATTTTTTCAGCCTGAATGAAATCCCTTTTACGTCACCTACACAATAAAACGTACATCAACACTATTCAGAAAACTGAATTTACGGTACTAATCAACAGAACCAACCTCGCCTAGTTAACTAGTTCACTAGTTACTAGCCGGTCCTAAGCCCGGATAAACAGGGAAAGTTGGACAAACGGCTAGCAACC